TTTTTTTTTTTTTTTTGGTTTTTCTCCGGTACCAGGAACCGAACTCACGACCTTGCGCTTGCCAGGCAGGCGCTTTTGCCGTTGAGCTAAATCCCCAGCCCTCCAGTTTTCTCTATAGGACTTTAAAGATGATAAAATTACTCACAACAAATTCACTGGCCTACCAAAAATAGCCCAGAGCTCCTTAAAGGAATAAAACAATGTATAACTCATGTCATCTAATATTAAATAAAATATTAGTGGACATGAAGAAATGGGAGAAAAAGCATGACAGAGGAAAAAGCAATCAACAGAAATGACATACAGAATGAAATTAGGAGATAGGAATTCTAAAATGGCCTTTATAAATACACTCCCTATGCTCAAAGATGTAAAAGAAAACATCAATATAATGAGTAAAGAAAAGGGAAATTAGTAAAATTAATCAAATGGAAGCTTTGGAAATAGAAAAATTCAGGTGGAATTCATAACTGATTAGAAAATATAGAAGTAAAAATAAGTGAGCTTCCAGATATCATAATAGAATGTGTCTAGAATAAAGCCCTGGGAGAAAAAAAAGTGAAGCAAATGAAGAGTCTCAATGAACTGTAAAACAACAATAAGCTATGCAACATACATGCAATTACAATCACAGAGAAGAAGGAGGAATGAAAACACATAATTAAAAACTTTCTAAATCAAGTGAAAACTATCAACTCGCATATACAAGAATTGCAACAACTCAAACAAAATACAGAATTGGCACATGAAGACTCTTTGTAATCAAATAATGCAAAACCAGTGACAGAGAAAATGTTAAAAACTTCAGTGCATGTGCAGTAAAGTTCTCAGGAGAAACTATGAAAGCCAGGGGACTATAAAAGACTATCTTAAAAGTACTAAAAGCAAAAAATTAAAGAACAAATATCTACCCAGAAATCTATATCCAGAAAAGGTGAATAGGCAAAATTAAATGAAGGCAAAGTGACAAATTTATCAGATAAACAAAAGCTGAGAGAATTTGTTACTAACAAAGCTGTAGTATAAGAAATATTAAGGCAATTTCTTCTAGTTGGGAAAAAAATGACATCAGATAAAGACTTGAACCAACATAAGAAACAAAGGGCACCGGAAATGATAAGTGTGGAGGTTGGTGTTATGGTTTGGGTCTGAAATGTCTCCCAAAGACATAGGTACTGTAGGCCTGGTCCCCAGCAGTGCTCAGGGGCCAGTGACTGGATCACTTGGGAAGTGACTGCAGAGTGCTGCAGGTGCAGTGGTACCATGCAAGATTCCCACTTGGGAAGTGACTGGACCGTAAGGACTCTGACCTCATCACTGGATTAGTCCACTGATGGGGTCATAACTGAATGGACTATTGGGAGGTTGTACTAACTGTGGTAGATGATATCTAGTGGGAAGAGGTAGGTCACGAGGGGTGTGACTCTAGAGTAGATCACTAGCGTATATCTTGTCCCTGGCCCCATTTTTCCTCTCTCTCTCTTTCATACTGTCCCTGTCTCTCTCCCTCTCCTTCTTGGCTGCCCCAAGGGGAGCAGCTTTCTGCCCTTCTGACATGGTGTTTGTGCCTTACCATGGCTTAAAAATGGAGCCAGCCACCCATAGACTGAACCCTTTGAAAATGTGGTCCAAAATAGACCTTTCCTCCTTTGTTTTTCTCAGGTATTACATATTTTAAATTTTTTAAAAAATAATTGACTGCTTGATACACAGTAATTACAAAAATTATAGGGTGCACAATTTATATGAAGAAGTAAAACTATGACAACCATAAGTCAAGGACAGAAAGGAGAGACAGAAGTACTGTATACAGTTGTCAATGGTTGTATGCATACTGCTGTATGTATAGTAATATAATATTACTTGAAGACAGTGATAAATTTAAGACAAATATTATAAATCCTAAAGCAACCATTAAAAGTATAAAAAAAGACCAATGAGCCAGTAAGTTGGTAACTACAAATGGAGAGAAAATGTTATAAAAATGCTTAATAAATTCAAAAAAACTGGGAGACAACCAAAAAAAAAAAAGTGAAGCAAAGAACAGATGGGACAAATATAAAAGAAACAGTGAAACGTTAGGTTTAAATGCATAGATTTAAATCAATAACACATGAAATGCAAATGTTTTAAACACTGTAATTAAAGGAAGTGAAGAACTGAGCCATGAAGATATTTAAAGAAAGAACATTAAAGAGAGAAGAAACAAGTACAAAGATTCCTACGAAGAGCAGAACATCGTGTTCAAGGAGCAACAAGAAAACCAGCTACTGAAGAGTGAGCAAGACACATGTGAAGGAGATTAGGTCATCAATATGGTAGGGCTTGACCTTGACAGACAATGCAAAGACTTTCTGTTACTCAGTGATCTGGGAGGCCACTGGAACTGAACTACCGGTATGCCAGCCAGGAGCCACCTATGTTAATAGTCACCTGTGCTCAAGAGCTATGTGTAGCTAACGGCCATCATATTGGGTAGTCCAGGCAGCATATTTCCATCATCACAGAAAGTTCTACTGGACTTCACCAGAAAATTTTGGAGATCAATGTTGTGTTGTATTTTAATAGCATCACTTTGGCTACAATGTTGGAAATAGGCTGCATGAGGCAAGAATGGATGGAAGAAATTTTAAAAATAAAGAAGAGCTATGGCTAAACCCCAAATGAACCAATGGTGATTTTAGAGGAAACAGATATTTCGATACCCAGGTCATAAGCCACGCTGTTGGCCACAGCTGATTCGCGCCTCTGTGCCAAGTGGACGCTGGGGACGGAGAGCCTCACCTGCCTGTTGCCTCCAGGTTCATGGTCTCTGCAAGGGCTCTACAGCCACGGGGAGGCCGCCTGGGAGGGCACAGGCCAAGAGCACAGAGCTCCAGTGGCATGGCTGGGAGAGGTGCAGGCTGATTTAGCCACCAGTTTAGGATCCTGCAGGGTTTCTTGTCTATGGCCATACCACCCTGAATGTGCCCGATCTCATCTGCAGGGCTTCTTCCCTGTGTGAGAAAGAAACAAGATGCACATTACATAATGATAAAGCAGTTCTATGTGTGTACCAAACTATAGAGGGTTAAAATACTGAAACCAAAGCTGGCAGCACCGAAAGAGCAGGAGCACAGACCTGCAGTCACAGATACAAGGTTTCACTACTTACTCCTCTCTTGGTTTTTTTTTTTTTTCCTCTCTCAGTTCTTGAAAGATCCAGTGGATAGAAAACCAGCAAGGACACAGACCTGCAGGACACCATCAGCCAATCAAAGCTAATGACTATTCATCCACCTAACATTAAAATACACATTCTAGTCAACTGCACATGAGACATTCAGCAAAATAAATCATATCTTGCACCATAAACCAAACAAAAACCAAGTTCAAAGAAGTGAACTTACCAAACAGTGTTACCAGAGCATCATACAAGTAGGTTGGAGTTTAATAGCACAAAGATTACAGGAAAATTCAAACTTGTAGGATTAACCCTTCTAAACAATCTATGGCTTAAAAATAACTCTCCAGGGAAAATTTTTAATATTATGAACTAAACAAAAATGAAAACAACAAATTAATACAAACTATACCACTGAGTTACATCCCTAACCCTTTCTTTGAGTTACTGTTGTCATATTTTTACTTCTGTATATATTGTGTACCTTACAGTTTTTTGGAATTATTTTCCATTAAACAGCCAGGAAAAATGTGTTTAGAGGCATTCTATGCATTTCTTAGAAGAAAAGAAAGATTTTACTCAGATCAGTAATGTGAGCTTCCACAAGTGAAGCCAGAAATTAATAGTAAAATAAACCCAATTTAAACAGAAGAAAAGATATAATATATAAGGCAGAACTCAAGAACTGAAAAAAGAAGGAAAAGAATAGTTGAAAATTAACATCTGTCCTCCCTCCCTTCCTTCATTTCCCTCTTCCCTGCCTCCCTTCCTTGAGTGTTAGAAGTGTTAGGATTTGAACCCATGGCTTCCTGCATGAAAAGTATGAACTGTACCACTGAGTTACATTCGTAGTCCGTTCTTTTTAATACTGATAAAACTGATAAGCCTCTAAAAAAGACAGCATTTTGATAGTGAAGTGTAAATGTTGTTTTAAACTCCAAAAGTTATGTGACATCAAAGTGCTTGGCATAAACTTTTTGTAACTAAGAGCATAGCATGTGCCTTTTCTTGGTCTACTTTTCACCAAATTTCACATACCACTCTCCAAGTAGATCTCTGTAGTAGAAGGTATTGTTGCCCTACCCATATCCTCTCACCAGTTACCATTTCTGCACACACCAGTCAAACTTCAAACTGCCAGATTCCTTTTGCCTGAGCGTTCTTCTGGCCCCTGTAACCCACTGTACCTGCTCAGGTGGTAGATCAGACACACTAGAGAATCACAGCTCCCTCAGAAGCAGCCTTCAACTATGATTGGCAGAAATAGGTAGCGAAGGATGCCAGTTCCTCCTCATTGTAGCATAATAACCCTAAAGAGCTTGTTCTACACTGACTCTCAGTTTTCTAGCTGATATTCAGCTGCCACAGTACCCTGTAGACTATTTTGGGGCTCTTTTTCCTGTTTCTGTCCAACGTCTTCACTATACCAGTGTTTCCTGGGGGCACCTTCTAAATAAACTACTTGCACTAAAATCTTTGCCTTGGGGTCTGATTCTGGGGAAATCTACACTAACAAGCTAGCTAATATTTCACATTCGTACAGTGTAATGAGGTGCCTTCTTGTGAACATTATAGCACAGAGGCTACACATGGGTATAGAGATACCAAGCATTTGGGACAGTGTTTTTGTCAATAGGTTCCATTTATGTAATACATTTCTAACAAGAAACAACAGCATCCAATGAGTTTCCCTGCACTGTACTAACCCAACAGTATTCATCTGGTGTTCTTCAGGTCCTGCAATCCCAAGTCTACCTCTTGCCTCTCCCTCACATCTTGCCCTCCTCATCAGGGCCTTTATCTCGCCCCAGCCTGACTCTCAGAGCCCCGATGCCCTTCTCAGCTCTCTGTGTTCAAGTTCTGTGCTCAGTGCCAGGTTTCTGAGCCACTGTCGTATCTTCAGCACTACTGCCTCTGCCAGGCCGGCATAGTTCTGTATCCCCTTTCCCAAACTAATGATACACTCTTGTTTACTCAGCAGTTTCTTTTCTCTGCTTCTTTTTTACCCAATGCTACAAGACTGTGACTAAGAGTAAGACAAAATTGTCTTATTTTATTAGACTTTTGAGTGTGTGACCTGATGGATTCTCTCTCTCTCTCTCTCTCTCTTTCTCTTTCCCTTCATTCTTTCTCCTTCCTTTTTGGTTTTTTGGGTTTTTTGTTTGATTGCTTGGTTTTGTTTTGGGTTTTTTTGTTATTTTTATTTGGTTACATTTGTCCGATAATATTTAAAGATTTAGTATTCATTTGTGTACAAAACAACAGAATCACTGCCCAATAAAATCTGGGTAGTGAAATGGGGAAATAAACCCAGACCTAGAAATGGAGAAGCCTAGGTTCTGTCGCTTGCCCTGCTACTTATTAGCACCATGGCTTCTACTATATCTTTTAGCCTCTATAGGTTTCATGTATAAGACAAGATGGTGGAAGTTGTTGCTCTTTCAGATAGTTTCAGCACTCTGTAAATCTAAAATCACGTTGTTACAAACACATAAAACATCCTCAGAAAGGTCTATGTAAAGGATTCTGGGAAAAGGTCACATCAAGCCTACATTTCCAGAACCTTCATCTTCCCACCTTGCTATGGTTGAGATGTGGTTTTCCCTCAGAGTGTCATGTGCTGAACGTTTGGCACTGTTGCACGATATAGAACCTCTAAGAAATTGGACCTGTGGTTAATGAACGTTTTTGAAACAGAAAAAAAAAATTAGACGAGATATTTTTAAATGACCTAATATTGACAATACTATTAAATGTGAGGGAACAAAGACAGCTGAGGTGTGTTTAGTGGTAGGACATTTGCTTAGCATGTGCAAGACCCTTGTATGCTCCCTGATGCACAAAAATAAGAAAGAAAACCACTGCAAAAGAGCATATATTCACCTCTAAGTAAGGATAAAAATAAGAAAACCATGCATTTTTCTACTTATCTTTGTTAAAAAAAATACACTGGAAAGAAAACCCAGATATCTGTAGAATTGGTCACCTACGTACAAGGAAGGTGGGAGGAAGTGGGAAATAGTGGAGGAAGTGGGAAATGAAGAAGAAAAGACACAGGAGAAAATAGCACTTCTTCAAATGTACTTTTTTCTTTAGATGTTTCATTTGAAAACAATCTGATATTCTGTATGTTTAGAAAATAAAGTCAATGAAAACAGAAAGGAGCTTTGCAGTTCCAGATCAGAAGAAGGAAGCCACTAAAAACCCCAACATAACACAGAAAGCAACTATCTGGGGACTCTGAAAAGTGAATTATTTGTGTTGATTAGGGACAGGGCAGAAGACTTGGCTTTCTAAATACAGAATCACAAAGACTTGCTTTGAAGTTCGCAATGATGTGGAGCAGGGGTTAGGGTGGCTGTGAGGTTCAAAGCTGTCAAACATCAAAACCTGGGGTGAAGGGTTATGCTACATCTTCTGAGAGCAGAATATCTTCCTAAGGCAGGGGGATGTGTCTATTTAGCTTATCTGTTTATGCAAGCACTTATTTATATCAATATAAACCCAGGATATTGACTGGTAATTTGGAGGCAGGGTCTTGCTGTGTAATTGAGGCTAGCCTTGAACTCACTATATAACTCAATCTGGCCTCAAACTTACAGGGATCCTCTTCCCTCCACCTCCCAAGTGCTGGGATTACAGCTTGTAGCTAAACTTGTGGATATTTATTTTATGCTTTTTGCTATAATTCAATACTACATTTTAAAATTCATGTTGCTCAAAATATTACTTCTTGTACACTAGGAGCTCTTTCATTTTGCTTCTTACTCTTTTGACACATTTCCATAAACACTGCTGTTCTTGGTGTGCTTATTGTTTCCTTACTTTACAGCACTGAGATGCTCTAGCTCATCTTGTTTATTGCTCCATTCATGGAACAAGCTGTTTTCAGGGAACCTTGATTTCTTGTACCAGAGAATAGTATTAGAATTCAAGATCTGGAGGCTAAATGTGCTCATTGCTTCTGAGGGGTAGGGAGAGGTTACAGATCCTAGGCCCTTTCAACTAATAGAGAAAAAAGATATATAGAATATATATATGATAAAATATACACATATCCACATCTAAATGGAACTAAAATTAGTTCATACTGATGTCATGTCTCCAACTGTAATCCATTCCCATATGGATCATTCTAACACCTTCTTGCTTGTTGGTAACCTCCCACCTCCCACTCCATCAATGAGAAACCTGGCTCCCACCATCTGCCATGCATTTACGTAACTGTTCAAGTCCAGCAAACATGTATGGTGAGTGGATTCAGAAGGATTAACCTGCACCCCTGCCTGGGTGTGTCTTTCTTTTTTATTCAGAGGAGACAGAGAACAAAAAATAAAATGGTAGACCTAAACTCAATCACATTAAGTAAATATATTAAATTTTAGTGGTCTATTATTGTTTGAATGTGTACATGTCCACCAAAGTCATATGCTAAAGCCTAATCACCATAGTGATGGTATTAGGACATAGGGGCATAAAGGGTGAAAAGGTCACGAGGGATGTGCCCTTATGAATAAGATTAGTACCCTCAAAACAGAGGCCTAGAGGGCGGTGTTGTGCTCCTTCCTCCAGGTGTGCCACAAGGTGAGGCCTCATCAGGTATCAAATCTATTGGCACCCTGATCTTGGATTTCTAAGTCTCTGGAACTATGAGAAATAAATCTCTATTATTTATAGATCATCAATTTATGGTGTTTTATTAGAGCAGCCTGAATAGACTAAAATATGATCTAAACACACTAACACAAAGACAGCCTGATGAAATTGTATTTTTAAAACAGGCCTAAATGTATGCTTTCTGTTAGAAATCTACCTTTTTCTATTTATATTTTT